GCAGGTTTTTCTTCTGTATTTAAGTATGCTGCACTCAAAACAGCTAGGTTTGTTGCACTGCAAGCTGCTGTTAGGTTAGCTAGTGTCAGATGACAACCATTTACAGTGTGCTCCATCACAGCATGGCTTAAGTTGGCAACACAGAGTCAATCACATGCCAGCAGCCTACTGTAAGGGGAGGGGGAGTGTGTGGGAAGAAAGGGGAAGAAGATACTCGTAATAAAATCTTTTAATGATTTATTTTTGATACCCATTTTTAAGCCTTGGGAAGTACAGTCCATATGCTTTTCCCTCCTGGCTGTAGTTGGCAAAGAAGCTGACAAATATGGTCCTTCAGACTCCATCCGTTTTGCAGGGAGCCAGAAAATACAGCTATATTTAGCATGTTACTAAAGCCATCAGCAGAGTCTGTTGCTAGGTGGTGATTCCCTGGCTGCAGGCTCGTGTGCCACCCAGGACAGGGTGGGAATGTGCCTTCCCTGGGGTCAACACCCATGCTAAATTAACAGCAGCAAACTGTCCAGTGACACCAGAGTGGCTGCACTGGTTCCAGCAGGCTCAGCACACCGCTCGCTGACACAGGTCAGTCTGTGAGCACTGTGCTCCTGCCAGACAGGTGCAGTGACCTGCTCCAGCTGCTAGGATGATGCTCTATGCTGCAGTGCTCAGCTTGGAGAGTGTCTCAGCAGGTCTGCGTGCAGGACACTGCAACTGTCCTGGGCCCTGTGCTGGACACTCAGTGTGCTGGAGCCACAGCCAGTCACTGCAGCAAAACTGTGCCTGCTAACAGATAAAGGTGCTCACCTGAAACTTAGGGGCCTGACTCCTGTTATGTTTCCTCATATGGTATTCCTAGGCCACCCAGGTATAAAATAGAGTTGTCCTGATTTGTCCCCAGCCTAGTGTCCACCCAGCAGATTTGCTGCCCTGTTGTTTTCCCTTGCTGTGTTGCAGCTGGTACTGAGAAGTGCATAGTGACAGGTCCTTTGTCCTTCTGGCAGCTTTCGTGGAGCTGAAATTGGTCTCAAAGAGTGTCTGTGTTGCTGAGAAGTACTGAGAACTGTGGGGGCTGCGATGGAAGCGTAGAAGGGATCACCCCTACCAGTGTTGGGAGTTCAGAGGATACTAGAAGTGCCTATCACTCCAGTGCAAGAAATCTTGAAAGTTGTTTCATAGCTGGATGTCTAAACTGGGAACATTTTGTGTCAGTCATGTCATCAGTTCCTAAAATTGTCTGAGAGATGGGGAACCTAATCTGATGTTACAGATGGGAACCTGACTCAGCTGTGGCTTCATTCTGGTGAAATGCAGCAGTTGATTGATGCTCAGGATCAAAATGATGGTGAGGAGTAGCTAAACTGAAGGTGTGGCTTTGAATCCAAGTGAAAGGGTGATTCATGTAGTCTTCATGGAGCTTTAGAAGGCCCAACTGGGAGCTGTGCTGCACTTCACAGCCTTTGCTCTGCTCTGCACAGCTCTCCGTTCCTTGCAAGTACCCAGAATCAAAGAATTCACTGTGTGGGCAGTTTTCTGCTCACAGCTCTGTCTGTGGGATCAAGGCCTTGTGCCGTATGTTGGTTTTTTTTGGTTGGTTATAAAAACATTCTGTTTGTAGAACCCCCCATTGGAATTAAACAAACTTTGTTTTGAGAAAAAAGTAGAACAAAGCTTCACACCAAGCTGGGGTGACCAGTATCAATGACATGCAAGTTTTCAGTTGGAATAGCAAAGTCCTTTCCAAGTGGAAGAAGGCCCTGTAAGTATTGTTTACAAAAAATAGCTCTTTTTTTAATCTTCTCTATTCCTGCAGTGTAGAAACATCTACACAGATTTATTCCAAATTTGGTAGAAATTAGTGTTTTCCCAATCCAAAGCACTTATGCCAGGTTTCAAGGAGGAATTTCTAAGGCTGATGTGCAAGCCCTTGAAGGCTGGAGTTTAGAATAGAGCAGCTGCCTGGCTGTTGACAACCCATTGCACTTCTACTCCTGATCTGCAGCAACCTGTAGCAGCCCTGCAGAAGGTGCTGCAGATAGGCTCTGAGCCTGAATGCTGGACTCCTGTTGGGTCCCAGCTGATGGGAAAGGCTGTGGAGGGACCTGATCCCACGCAGCTGGAAAGATGCCATGAGAAGGATGACCCAAACCTACCTAGTGCTAATTAGTCTTCTTCCAGATTAATGTGGTTACCTTGTAGTAATGCTAGGTCCAGCTGCATAGTGCCATTTTACCCTCACTTTACACAGATGTTAAGAGAGCATCTGGTGATGAGGATTCATGTCCTCAGGGTCTGCAAGCAGTTAACTCCCTGCTGGGAATCTGAGGCTGTTGGATTGCTGAGAAGCCAAAACAATAGCATTAAAAAGCCTTAATCTTTTTAAGTTGGGTTGTCAGGATCCACTGGGCTCTTCTAGGATCAGGGCAGAGTTTTATTCTCCAAAGGCAGGCTGCTGAAGTTTGGGAGTGTTTGTTCCTTGGCCTAGTGGGTTTAGCTCATCCCTTCTTGCATTTAATTATTTGACTCTAAGTAACAACGGGGAAGCAGGAGTTTTGTTTAATTCTCATCTCCTTGGAGCAGATAAGAGAGGAGCCCGTTTCTCATGATATTCCATCCCACAGCCCCTTTCACACTCTGCAGCCCTCTCCCCAGTGAAGCTGCTCATAGCCCCAGAAGAGGGTCTAGAGGAAAGCACGCCTAAAGTTTGGAAGTGTCAGGCTGCTCTACAGTGACCTGCCCCTCTCATGACATGCTGAGGAGCCTTGTTGGGGTTTTAAAAAGAGCCCCTGTAGTGGGTGTCAGTGTTGGCTGTGTGCAGTGGTACTTGGACTGTCCAGTGATACCACCTGTACGTTTGTGCCGTGGTTTGGGGTCAGGGCCACCCCCAGAACCGTAACAGACGCTCCCTGTTAATCCCTTCCTCCCACACCCCGAAAGAGAAAGGGAATAAGGGAGAGAGACTTATCGATTAGAAAAGGAAACCAGCTTTAATACTACCACTAATAATAATAGTAATAATGATAATAAAATGGAATATGTACAAATATATACAAAATCAGTGTTGAACCAGACTCCCTCCAGATGACGATATGTCACCATCACCCCCAGCTGAGAAGCAGCCCCCGGCTGGACTCAGCCACAGACAGCAGCTGGGTACAGGAGCTGGATTCTGGGACTCAGTTCAGGAGCACACAGCTCAGGATCATAGGCAGAATGGATGAAGTCCTCCTCAGATGCCAGCCACTGCAGCAGCAGCAGAAGAGAGGAAGAAGATGATGGAAGGGCTTACCCCTTCAGCTTCTACTGGCTTTGAGGGCTGTGGGATGGAATACCCCACTGGTGAATCTTGGGGTCACCTATCCTACCTGCTCCTCCCCGCAGGTGCGGTGTGCTCTCTGCCCCCCTCTGAGTGGGATGCCAGCTTGACAGTGTCCTTGGTCTGCATCCCAATTCCTGGCAGTAACTCTAAACATGGAGTGTTATCACTGTAGAAGCAGGTAGTTTATGCTGCTAACTTCAGACAAGGCAGTTCATTAGAAGAGCTTTAGCTGACAAGTTAAAATCATTGAACAGAACCAGCTCTGTACTACCCCAAACCAAGACTGTACAAGTCTTAAAAATTCCCAGGGGAGCATCCTGGATGCAGTCAGGAGCCCATCCCAGGGAGTTGCCTCCAGCCTGAGCCCTGGGTACAGTGGTGTGTAATGAGTGTAGCCCTGTGGATCTGGTTATGGGGTTACAGCTCTACTGCACATCATCCTGCTAATGGGAGCAGTTACATGGAGTCACTGATGGGCTCCTTTTTGAAAGCAAACTTAATTATACTGAGGCTGAGAACTTGGTGTCCAGCCCTTGACAGGAGTGCCTGGGACAGGCAGGGTAATGGATGGTCCTGCTCCTGTGCTGGCTGCAGGAACCATTATTAGTTATCTGTCATGTAAGAGCTCTATGGCCCCCAGGTCTGGCCAAGTTTTAATAGGCTCTGAATAGCTCCAAGGAATTTACTTCCCTAAAAAAAAAATAAATGTTAAAAATCTGTGTAAAAGTTATTTATAAAACTTGAGCATAAAATCACGTCAGATGTTTTGTGTATGATGCCTCTGTTTCTTGAGGCAATACACAGAGAAAGAGGAAAAACCCCCTGATTTTTTCAAGAATTATTTCATCTTAATGACAAAATTCATTACTAGTTTTCTGTGTTCCATGGACTGTTGGTATTTATCTTCTGATGTGAAAGCAAGGCAGAGTTTATAGATTTTTTTTTTTAAAAAAAATGGTCTCGTTTGATCTGAGGTGAACTATAACATTAGTGATGATTTGCTTCTTAGGGAGCCACTGTCTTACCCAGTGCTTATGTTTCTGGGAGAGGGCAAGTAGTCAGTGATGCAGCATACTGTGCACAGATGAAAGCGTGGAGGGGGAAATTGTTCCAGTTCTTCCTCCTGTGAATACCACTTCTCAGCATCTCGGGGTACATGCATGCTGAAGATCAGAGGTGACGCCCTACAGAGCTGCTCTCTTAATGCTTTACCCACTGCAGCTGGGGAAGTGGTGGAGACAGTTTTGTTTCTTGCTGTCTGGTTGTCAGGGCCAATTAAACGGTCTGGCATTGGCACGGAGACGAAAAACAACCCACACAAGAAAATGGGGATTTTTTGTTTTGGTTCGGGAACTGTTGCTGCTAGTTTCTCAAAATATTGGTATTTGTCTGATTTTGTTTGTTTATTTTTTATTATTATTTTCTACAATCATTTTAACATCAGGAAGGCTAACTTTTGGGTCTAGCTTGATGGTATTTGGTTAGTGTTACTGCAGGAGGAGTCCTGTTGCTCTCTTCACCTGAGATTGGCTTGACTGTAGAAACATCACAGAAGAGGCGCAGTAGCTACCAACTGCCTCCACCTAGATGATTGTGTCGTTACAGTAACCCAAACAATCCTTAATTCAGTCTGTCTACCCTGAGTGCTACATTCGCTGAAATGCTGTTTCATTGTGTTTTTCAGGGCCGGTGTACCCGAGAGAACTGCAAATATCTCCACCCTCCCCCACACTTAAAAACACAACTTGAAATAAATGGCCGCAACAACCTGATCCAGCAGAAGACGGCCGCAGCGATGTTTGCTCAGCAGATGCAGTTCATGCTGCCAGGCGCGCAGCTACAGCCCATCGTAAGTTACAGCGGCCGGCGGGGCTCAGGCCCACACCTCCCCTCCTTGTTTGCTCCTGGGGGCCTGGCCTGCCGCGTGGGCAGGTGGCCGTGCTGCACAGGGTTGGGATCCGCCTGCCAGAGGCACGTCTGATGGTACCTCTGCCTCTTCTTGCAAACTGTGGCTCTCCGTTCCTGTGACAACTAAGGAGCTGTGAAATTCAGGGCATCAAGTGGAAGGGTCTTGCCACCAGGAAAGATTTGCTTCTCTTCAGATAGGGAGGCAACCCTGTGGGAGACAAGTGTTTGCAGAGCAGGTAGTTTCAGAGAAGCCTTCACTGCCTGTCTGTCTTTTTGCCTATCAGTTAAAACAGGTTTTCAAGCTGGAGAACCCTGTTAGGCCAGGGAGAGAATGGCTTATGTCTGCTGGTTGGTGTGTCTGGGAGGGGGTGACATTTGTCAGCTGAGTTTAAGTCTATTGCTTTGTATATTTTGAGAAATTTCAGAGGTCTTGAACCAGCTCTTTGGTGATGACATAAATGAGTGCTGTGTTTTTATCTGAGAGCTTAATTGGGAGTTCTTTTCCTGGGGTAGCATGCACTTGTGCAGTTGTTGGGTGAGATTCCTTGCGCTGTGCCACACAGGAGGTCTGGCTGGATCCCTAGGACAAACTCTTCTACCCCGAAGCTGTACAAGTCTGCGAACCCGCCTGCGCTTGGCCACCTACAGCACCTGGCTTCCCTGCCCAGATGGGACTTCAAGCGCAGCATCTGTCACCCTGGCTTTGAAACGTTCAGGTGTCTGTGGTTTATTCTCACAAGAAACTGGTGAAGGGTTCTCCCTTGTTGGAGTCCTTTGTGCTGTTTGGTGCAAGATGATGGATCTGTGTTTCAGCAGGGAAAGGAGACCAGTGTCCCTTCATAATGGTGCTCTGCCACCGTGCCAGGGTATTTCCCTAGTCTGGTACGTTCCTTCTGTCTTGTGAAAGCTCTTCCACATTCATCCTCAGTCTGGTCATCCTGTGTGTGTTAGCAGTTTTATCTTCACCCTGCTGTATAAGCTAGGAATATGTTGCTTATTCCTCGCATTTTGAAGATGAAAAAGCGAGACAGAAGAAAAAAATGGGCCACAGAAAAAGTCTTTAGTTGCTCTGCACCTTAAGCTCTAGTTTGCCATGATCTTTGTCACTCGTTTTGTGGAGTTTGAAAGTACATGCACATCAGGAGGAAATCCTGAATTCCCACAAAATGGTAGCACTGGTTTCCTACACCTGTAAGCAAACCTTTCCTGTTTGGGGTTTTCTTCTGTGGGGAATTCTCAGTGGACACTCTTTGGCTGGCTATTCAAAACATCTTTGGGATTTCCTCTTTGGAAAATTCCCATCTTCCCATTTTGCAATCTTGCAGGTCCAGTTTACTCCTGTAATTTCACGCCTGCCTTTTAAATTGCTGCTGAGACTGAATCTGTGGGTTTCTCTAGTTATTGCTCTCATTTCAGAGGTAACCTTATCTGATAAGAAAGTTCCCTAGTTTCTGAATTGTGCCATGTGGTAGACATGGGGAAAGAAGAAAAATTTAAACTTTTTCTGCAATGACTGCTCCCTTCTTGCTTTCCCACACTTTACTCAGAGTAAACGAGCTCTTGTTCTAATTCATGCTGCCCAACTTGCTCCACACCAATTTCAGGACAAACAAGAGATTGCTCTTTCAACTGCTTTTGATTTCCTGGAGATGCTGCCAGTAGAAGCAGGCTTTGAGATTTTATTTTTTTTTTTTTTCTCTAAATGAGAAGGGTGGGGCCTCCTTCTGACTACACATGAAATTCTTCAAAGCAGAAAGTATTCTATCAGATGCAGCAGCAGAACAAATCCCATGTGATCAGAAAGCTGATCAACGGGATGCCTGCTTAATTGGGATGCTTGCCAAAGATGAGGTTTGGAACAGTGTGCTTAATAGATCCAAACAATAGCTGAATGCTTGCACATTTTAAAGTGCATTTGCACCAGAGAAAAACCCAAAACAACCCAGCAGACCACCACCACCACCAAAAAAAAAAAAAAACCAACCAAAACAAAACCCAAAAAGCTTAAGCATGCTTCCTGAAATGGCATTGAATGTGTCTATGAGCTTGCATCTAAACATTCATCACCAGATCTTCTTGCACCACCGCTCGCATACAGGAAGAGCTGATCTTCCTGTTGAACTGAGAGCCAGGGCCCTGATGATGGCTGTTTAATGAAGGTGCTGCTCGGAGAAGAACTGTGTCCCAGGAGGGCTGCCTGCTGCACGCTGCTCCAAGAAGCCTACTAGGTGTGAATTAATAGTTGCTAGCATGAGCTTATTTCTCTGAAGTCTCTGGTTGCTCTCTGATGTTGCTGCTAACTGTTCAGGCAAAGCTGAGAATCACATGTGTGTTTGGTGCCTGTGATGCAGTTTTAAACAGGCTGCTTCACACAGCACTTGTTTTCAAGTCAGGCGAGGACATGGAGCAGAGTATTTGCTCAGCATGGTGTTATTGGTCTGGGAGAGACCTTGGAGAGACCATGTAGGTGCCAAGTAGAGAGACCATGGTAAGTTTTGACTTTTTAAAGTCCAAATTCACCTGGACTGCTGGCTTTAGTTGAGCTGTGCTAGAAGCTCTTTGCTTCTGTTAGACTGTGTAAAAGTCAGGTTGAAGGTGGATAGCGCTGAGCTCTGATATTGATACAGAGAGCCAGTTTTGGTCAGTGCTGTGTCTGGTTTCTCATATAGTCACTTTGAGCTGTGTGTGTGCCAAAGTAAGACCACCCAAAAGGTGCTGCACCCTGAGTCCATCCATTCTGTTTTAACCCTTTGCAGAAGTGTGAGGCAAACTTTTTGAGCTGGCCATGGAGGTACTTCAGCACAGGCTCCAAACTGGCCTGGTGGAGCAGGGCAGTGTTCTGCATGGTGCTGCTGTGTTAGCTGTGTCTGAACAGGCAGCTGGATAAAGCAAGGCAGTGTTGACACACCTGCCTCCACTCCTGGAGCCCTGCAGTTGCATCTGCTGCTGCCCTGGGATGTTGCTTCCCCTCTTTTTGTTTTCAAGCTCTTCATCTTTTCTTCCTGTCAAGGTCTTTTTAACCAGGACTCTCTTGACAGCTGAGTCACCCATCCCCCTGAAGAAAACTCAAACTTTAACCCAGCCCTGCACATCCTTCTGAGGCCACAGGACCCTGCTGCCACCCCTTGGTGCTGATAAAGGAATTAAGCCATGGGGTGAGCCAGTGACACTTGAAATAAGTGCTGGAGCAGAATTCAACAGGTGTTTTGGGCATGCATGTGTTCCACGCAGCAAAAACCTGATCTGTATCAGCCTCTAGTCAAAAGCACTCTAGGAATGAATAAACACACATACCCTGGCCCACCTGGGAGCTGGTGTCTGCCAAGAGACAGTGCTGTGGGGTGTTAACACTTGACTTTTACACTACAGCAGCCCACAAATGAGATATCCTTTGAGCTAGGAACGTGTCTTTGCGGTTTGATTGGGGAAGCTAACATCTGTGGTGGTAGGTAGGTGGATGCTTTCGCTGGTTGGAGTTACTCCAGTGCACTCAGTCTTCATGTTAGAGGGGTGGTTTTGCAGCCAGCCACGTGCAGTTGCATTGGAGGGAAACAGGTTTTTGCTTTTACTGAACAGCATCGATTATGTTTTCAATACTGGGATCTTCATCCTTGTCAGTATGAGATGTTTCTCTTCTATGTTTCTGTCAACAGACTGTAATAAAAGCTGCCACTGCTTCTCGTGTGTTTTCCATGTGTAGCTGTGTAGCAGTGACCTATCTCCCTTCCTTCAGGCCATCAACACCTCTGTATTTATACTAGGTTTCATTTTCAGGCTTTCCCTTTTTGGGGTCTGAGGTAACTTAGAATCAACACTTCCCAGCCGAGACAGCGCTTTGTGTTTGACAGAACACCAGCCGCTCCTCTGCCTTCCTCTTCACACCCACTCTGTGTTTCTTCTCTAGCTTTAGCACAATTTTTGCTAGTCAAATTAAATGCAACTTCTAGTTTGTTAACAAAATCAGCTGTTGCAGGTTCTGTCACCACCAGTAATGACAGATGCCCCTTTCTGGGATGGTTCCTTCTCTCTGCTCACACCTCCAACCCAACAGCTCCCGTGCTTGAGGCCTGTAAATTGCTCAGAACTGTTGAAGGCCTTAGGACCCCCCTGCAATAGGTTCTCACAACAGCCATTTCAGCTTTTTTTTTTTTTTTAAATTATTATTCTTACAAGCATTTTAATACTTGGTAAACCAGCCCTGTGAGCTGCCACCAGTCTGAACCCCTCTGCTGCTGCATTGTAACCTGTTTCCCTCTGCTCAGAAATTACTGGTGGTGTGTGCGTATGCTGCGCTTCATCACAGCTAGTTTGCAAGAAAACCTGCCCCTGTATTTCCTGATCCTGAATTTGCAAGACCTTCAAGGGGGATAGCGGGGTTAAGTGGTGAATCTTTGAATCCCTCTGTTTGCCCTGGAGCACACCAGTGACTAACTTGAGACTGGAGGGTGTTTTTTTTGTATACAGTCATAATATTGATTTGTCAGATCTCCTGGCTGGGTGCAATCACAAGAGGTAGGTGAGAGGCATGTTGAAGAGAGCGGTGCTGTTTGGAGTAAAAATTACAGTTGGGTTCTGGCTACAAGAAAGAAACTCACTCCAATTCCCTCAGGACAGGCCTGGCACAGGGGACCTGCACAGACGTAAAAAGGGAGGAGAGATTTGGCTGGCAGCATCTTTATTACTGGTACTGATGCATGAGCCAGACTGAATTTCCCAATCTAAGGCAGGCAGTTGAGGCTGGCAGCAAGCACAGCCCATCTTTTCCCCTCATCAGCCACAATAAATACAGAGCTCCCTGATGCCAGCTTACAAAGGAGCAGCTTTCAGTGCGCTTAGCACACTCCAGACTGAAAACCCCAGCGCTCCTAAATTGAATGTGCTGAGTGAGGTCTGCTCCTTCTGTCTGCTGGGTGTCAGCCCCCTGCCTAGGGGCAGGGTGTGGAGCAGAGCTGTTGCTTTCAGTCAGCAGCACCCGGTGCACGGTTCAGGCGGGCAGAAGAAGCTATTGTGAAGCCTTGGGAATGCAGCACAAGTTGCCAGGGTATGGAAAAGGGTGAACAACCAGCAGCAGTGAGAAAAACCCATGCTGCTCCTTCACAAACCCCTCTGCAGGTCTCCAGCATTCAGAGTGGATTGTACTCCTCAGTTGTTCCTTGTGGACATCTTTCCTCCCCTTGCTTCAGCTTGGGTTTGGATCCATTAGCCTTTGCCTCTTGCTTCTGATGAGAGGAGCTGCTTTTGAAGAATGGCCTTGGAGACAGGGATTGTGTTTCAGGGAGCAGGACCTCCCTCCCAGTTTGTATCAGCTTTGGTGGAGAGGCTGCCATGTCATCTCTTCATGAATGTTTTGCACCCCTTCCCACTGGTTTCTGGTGAATTCACTCAGTGTCAGGCGTTGCAAGCACATAGCCTTCTTCCCTGGCTGCACAAGTGCTCTGGCATCCTCTTATTAGGTAGTGGAAGGAACATCTCCCCTCAGTCTCAGAAATCAGCTAGGTCCTTGGGCTGGCTCCTGGTTGTGTTCAGACCCAGTCAGGAGAAGCCTGCCTTAAAGGATCTGGAGTTTTGGAGCAATGTCTGTACCACACCTGCTCTGTCAGGATACCCTGGACTCCTGCTGTATTAGGTTCTGGAGAAATGTTGGGTAGATTTGCACACACATTTGTGCTTATGCTGTAAGGTTTGTGCTACTATGGGTGTGTAAAACAAGTACTGACAACATGTCAGGCCCCAGCATAACCCTGTGCAGATTGGCCAGGCTGAAGAAGCCCCTTAAAATGACATTTATTAGTGTGAATAGTGACAGAAGCTCAGCAGGTGCCCCTGTAATTACTGGTGCTCACACAAAAGAAAACAGTCTAATGGATGCTGCCTTCTCACTAAAGTGTTCAGGGAGTCACAGTGTTTGAAGATCCTTAAAGAGCTTTTCTAGCAGCAAAATGTGTAAAATGTCTGGGAATCACAGAGAACTGAAAGAGAGAAGAAAATGATTTAATAAAGGTCTGTGGACTGGAGAATCTCTGGGTTTAATGGTTACGGTCTCCCATCATCTGAAGCAAGGCTTGTCTCGGGCTCAAAAGAAGGAAAATTGGAAATCACCCAGAGAGAGGATTATTTAGTTCTGCTGTGCTTAAAGCACCCAGCACCACTGATTCAGGAGGCTGTGTCTCTTCATTCAGGAGAAGAAGGTGGAACATGCACTGGCAGCGACCTGTCTTCCCCTCTCTCATCAGCTCAGGAGCTGTTTGCTGTCCTTAGGAAGGGGGCATCATTAAGCCCAGATTATAGATTAGGACGGCTTGGCTGGTGTTACTGTGGGTTAGCTCCCTTCAGATCTCAACAAGCGAAGTGTTTCCTTGTGTAGGAGAGTACTGGGATGAAGATGCTGTTGAGAAACACGCTGTCCACCTGTGGATTCTTCTAGGCACCCACAGGACTAGAAGCACTAAAATAAAAGCTAGGAGGGGATGATGTATGTAGCCAAAAATCTTGGCAAAACTTGACATTTATTGTCAAGTAGAGGTTGTAGCTACTGAGGATGGCATCACGTATGCCTGCGAATGTGAGCAGCTTTGACTATAACCCAGAGTTCATAGTGGAACAGGTGACATAAGGGAAACCAAAAATGGTTGCAAGTCACAGGGTGCTTCCCGTGGAAGCTGCTCGAGCCCCTGCTGCAGGAGCACTGCCTAGCAGGATCTGGTCTTTGGGGTGGGGAGGGGACTTCTCATTAGCTGGAATTGGTTTCTTTCCCAAATGCACCTCAAATGTAGTGCTTTAAAGTCTCATAAACACCCTGTCTCTAGGAGCTATTTATAGACTTTAAACTGAGCACCTGATTAGGAGCTTTGTGACCTCACCTGCCTCGCAGAACAGCAGCCCCTTTCCCAGACCAATGCTGCTGGAGCAGTTCAGGCTGGAGAAGTGGCTCTGGCCACTGGCGCTGAAGCTCTGCTGCAGTTGTTGGCCCTGCCTAATGTGGTTTTCAGGAACTGAAACAGTCAAGGTCTTTATGGCCCATTATTCTGTTTTCTCAAGGGAACACTGCTCCTTGCAGCACAGGTGTGGTCCTGGACCTTGTACTGGTTCTTCTTATCTGCTACACTCTGTCCATGGCTCTTCAGAGCCCATGACCCACTTGCTTTTGCCAAAGTCATGAGGTCGGGCACGTTGTGACACTAGTGAGCTTGGTGTCCTCTTGCTGCCGTTCACATGAAGCACAGGTGCGGGATAATCCTGCAAAATGTTTTTTGCCTGGAAGCTCTTGACAGTCTGAAGCAAACCCAAGGTGTGCAAAACACTAGACCTCCAAGCACAGCATAACATGGATGCCTTGTCTGACTCCAAAATGATCCCTTTTGTCTTCCTGAGCCACACTAGCCATGGTAACATGGAGCTTCAGTGCAGGCCAATAGTGAATTCAACCACGTAGCTAATGGGGATACCTGCTTCCAGGTCCTGAAGCTGCAGTTTACCCTGGGGTCTCTGTACAGCATTGTGCTGTAGACATCTAGAAGTCAAGACAGTTATTTGGCAATGAGAATTTTGTTTAGTTTTGGCCTGCGCTAATTGCTGGCATGAAATACTTTATTGTGTCATTAAACTATGAAGAACATCAATATGTTTGATCTGACAAATAAAGATGCCATGTGTTCAGGATGAGTCACGAGTCAGTGAGTCAGGAGGAGCAAACGGATCGCGAGGACATGGCGGTAAGAAGTAGATTGGAGAGCCTGGCATTGTCATGTTCTAATCAAACTCAGAAAGGGTTGAAGTGATGCAAGGCTTTGATGGGTAACCCAAGACAGAGCTTTTCAACTAATATTTTTATTTTCCTTTTTCTATACACAGACAACGTTTCCTGTGACTCCATCACTTGCAACAAGCCCCACAATGGCTTTTAGTCCCTACCTGAGTCATGTTTCTCCTGGGATGGGCTTGGTTCCTGCAGAGCTTTTACCAAATACCCCTGTCCTGGTTTCCGGAAATCCTACTGTTACAGTACCAGGAGGCTCTGCTGGGCAGAAACTGATGCGTACGGATAAACTGGAGGTATTTGGACATCTGATACAATACTGCTGATGGGAATGGACAGGACATGTGGTCCCAGCTGTTGTTCTCTGCTAGAACGACTTGGTGCAGCACAGTGCAGAGTTTAACTTGCAGCTTTCCTAACACAGGGCTGCTGCTCTTTCCTTGAGCAGACCCTCATGCAGGGCCTGATCCCAAATCCTTGGAAGTTACTGGAAATTTGGGAGTGCTCACTCTTCTGATTTCAGTGGGCATTAGAGCAGGGCTGGGATTGTTGTTTTCTGTGTGTGATCTGCCACAATTGAAAAAAATGCAAGTACATCATCTGCTTTTTCACTGAACTGAGTACATTTTGGGAGATGTTTTGGAAGTAACAGACACTTCCTTTGTCTAGAGAAGGCTTATTGAGCTTTTACAGAAAGCTTTAAGCATTACAGTGTTGGGAGTGGTGAATATGGGGCATTGGAAAAATGTCTCCTTCCCCCTAGTTGTCTGGGCATGCTTATGACTTAGTGTTGGAGGAGTTGTAAATGCCTTTTAAACCCTAATGAGAGGCTCTGCAGGAGATAAGGGCTGAAGACCTGAATTCAGAGGCTTCTGCAGGTATAAATTATAACTCAGGAAGGTAATGGAGAAGGGTGTAATTTCAAAACACGCTGTTTTGTGTTACGTACTTTACGTTGCCTTGCTGACATCTCACCTTTCCCACACAGTCTGATAGTGTACTGCTACGTGATCTACACCACTAGCTATAGTCCTCAACATTTCTTTTCTAGTTCCTCAGACAGGAAAGCCTTGCAGATCCATTTTGTGAAACCTTTTTCTTTGCCTTTGATGTTTCACTGCTCATAATTGACTAGGCTCTCCAAGAACTTTGTAAAGTTAGCAATTTTGGCAACACCTTAGGAACATGTTGCAGTGTAATCAAATGCACTGTCATGTCACACCGAGGTCATAGTTTTATTGTGCAGGGTGGTGAGACTATTTATGTGAAAGTGACTCTTCATTTTTAAGAAAAGGTACTTGTAAATAGCATGCAACATATAGAATTAAATGTCCCACCCAAGAACATGCGCCATAGCAAATACATAATCCAGGTGAGACACAAATGGCAGAGTTAGGAACATTTAAGCTTTAGAGGCAGGGGAGGAATCCTGAGCTCCAAAAGTTTTGGCAAAATGACATTGACTTTCCAGGTTACTTTCTGCACAAATTCTGTACTTCACTTGCATTTGCTAAGCTGCTTTGTTAACGTGGGGTTTTTTGATACCCTGAACTGGTTGTGAGTAGCACTGTTTGCCCCTGTGACAGTCAGTGTATGTGTTACCCAAGATAAGCAGGACTTTAGAATACACACATGGTTTAATGTGGCCAACTGAACTAATATTCTGTGTTGAAAATAGTGAATGAAGAGTAACTTGATGTTCTGCTCAACAATGTGACTTTCTTTTAAGGTGTGTCGAGAGTTTCAGCGTGGAAATTGCACACGTGGTGAGAATGATTGCCGCTATGCTCACCCTATAGATATTGCCATGATAGACACAAATGAAAACACTGTTACAGTTTGCATGGATTACATCAAAGGTCGATGCTCTAGGGAGAAGTGCAAGTACTTTCATCCCCCTGCACACCTGCAAGCCAAAATCAAGGCAGCTCAACACCAGGTGAACCAGACAGCTGCAGCTGCAATGGTAAGTAGGGCTCTTGTCAGTCTGTATTTCCATTGCAAAGAAATTTCGTTTGTGACGTAGGTGTTGTTTCTGGAAAAGTAGAGTGCTTTGTAAGTGGCTGACTAGAGAGCTGAGAGCATGTGCGATATGAATCCCATCTCATTGTTTCTGTGTGCTCATAGCATGAAGCCCTGAGTGGCTCTGTACACCTCACCAGTCAGGGATGTGGTGGCGAACCCTGTGATTTTCTGACATGGCATCATGATGTGGTACGAGTGCAGGTACAGCAGCACTTGGAACTAACACCTTCCCTGGCTAAGTTGTAGGTGTCAGTTTAGTTTCCCTAGTACACAACAGAAGCAAAGACTGCCCGTTCCATAATATGTCCTTTGCAGGGAGATACTGGCTTGTTGGAAGTCAGTAGCAAACTTTCCACTGACTTAAAAGCAGACAAGATGTCAGTTGTTCAAGCTTAGCAAACTTGTGCCTGGTAGCTTTGCCAAGGCTTAGTGAAATGACAGGAGACAAACCAAGGGTGTCTTCCTGACCTGTTTGATACTTTGGACCTGGTAGAGGTGGTCCCACCTGCACTTTAATATGAATTGTGGCTAATACTTAGCATTCTAAAAAACAAGTCAAGGAAGACTTGACAGATGAAATTCCTAGGTGGAGTAAATGTTTGCTATTCTGTTGAATTAAGTTTATTGGCACCTATTTCTTCTGGAGATGAGAGCCGAGATGGGAGGAAGGAAGAGGCCCAGGGAGATCTTGCCCATGTGTTTAAATTCTTGATGGGGGAAGTAAAGAAGACCGAGGCAGGCTCTTTTCTTTGCTGCCCAGTGAAAGGACAAGAAGCAATGAGCACAAACTGAAATTCATGAAATTCCATTTAAACAGAAGAGAAAAATTCTTTACAATGAAGGTGATCAAACACTGCAGCAGGTTGCCCAGATGCAGACCTGAGCAAGCTGCTCTAGTTGACCCTGTTTTGAGCAGGGTATTGGTCTAGATGGTATGCAGAGGTCCTTTCCAACCTCATCTCTTCTCTGATTTTTCTTTTTTTTTTTTTTTTAATAACTAATATTTAAAAGGTTCTTGTCTCCTTTTTGATTTAGAAGTAAGGCTACTAAAACTTCTCAAAATATCTTTTTTTTTTTAAAAAAAAAAAAAAGGCAGTAAAAGAGGTTGGTTTACCTTCATGGTGAAAGGTAATGCAGAACCAGGGCGATTTAACACAAAGCCAGAATGATTCTAGAAATTAAACAGCTGCCCTCCTTTTAGCATCAATATTACCTGGAATGTAATTTGAAGAACCAGTTTATACTGCAGTATAAACTGCAGTATATTTATTTGTCCTGCAGAGTTTATTTATTAGATTGTTTTACTTTTTTTTTTTTTTTATTACTGAAGCAAGAGCCCTAGTCTATTGAAAAAGAACCTTCTGAAATGAAACACTTGTGTTTTTTACAACTGAATCTTTACTTTTTCACTAATTATCTAGGACACTGCTAGTTAACCAAAGTTAATATGTGTTTTATTCTTGCTGCTGGCTTCTCTTAAAAATGTAATTAACCTTGTTTGTGTGCTGTTAAACTAAAACTTTTAAAATATTTATTGATGGCTTGTTGAGTCACCCATGCTACCAAAATAGCTTATATTATTCATTGACTTGATGCATTTTGATGCATTTACTGTACCTGTTCAGGAATAAGACTTCATTAAAGTGAAGAATGGTGCCCAGTTTTCTTGAATCAAAAAAACATTTGCCAGACAAATGGGTATACCTTCTAAAACAGATTTGGAATGATTTCAAATCTAAATTCATAAGATGGTTCTGAGGGACCCAATCCTGCAGTTACTTGCTGTGCACAAGTAGTAGCTTTACTCACTCCTGCTTGGCTGAAGTCAGTGCAGCACAGTCAGATGAGTTGGGTCAGGCTCAGTCCCTGATTCAGGATGGCAGTTCAGCATGTGCTTGAACCTCCCTTCCTTACCAGTGGTCCTCCCCTTACCATAAGTGCTCTTGCATGGCGCGTAGCTGCAGAATTAGGGCTGAAGTCCAGCACAAGTCCACTTGCAGGTGCTAATCTCTAAGCACTCCTGACCAGTTGTGCCAACCACAGTGAAGATGCTCTAAAGAACGTGTCTCTTGATGACATTTCTTTACCTTTAAAACTTGAGGCTAAATAGCTGAGTAGCCGCTAGCCCAGGCAGTCACTCAGCCGCCCCCCGTTGCGCACGCCTCGCCTTTTGATATATTGTATGATGCATTCACTCTTTTTTTTTCTTTTCGTCTCCCTGAAATGTTGCTCTCTCTTGACTCTGCTTGCTGTTTTTGTTACTGTGCTTGACCCCCCCTCCCTGGCCCATTGCCATCATGTGCTCGCTGCCTGCTAATTAAGACTCAGCCAGCTGTCAGATCACTGAAGCGACCGCTCGAGGCAACCTTTGACCTGGTACTTGGACCTTTCACCTTCTCGCTTTGCACGTAACCATCTTAGTCTGCATGAAAGCCTTCTGCACTTGGTCTGTTGTGTTAGTGCCTGGGGAGACTGCCCATCCCAGCCAGAAACGTTGCATTGTGCGTTCAGACATGCTAATCCTGCGCTCCACGCGCCACCCATTAACCAGTTGAGCTTTGCCTTCTGAGGGCTGGATGTGTTTAGGAGGTAGTGAATACTCTTGGAGGGAGTCAGCTCTGGGTTTTGAATTTTTTTCCAAACACCAGTGTCCTGGGATGTGAGGTTTCTGAGAATTTAACTCATTGGGTCTGCAGTGTGCTGGATATGCTAGAGGGCTGAGTGATGCAGGACAGATCCAGCAACATTTTGTTCTGTGCCCAACCATGCAGCCTTTCCTGGTAGTGTCATGCTGGTACTGCCCTGCAGAAGGGTGTTCTGTGCAGTGGGCACAACTCAGGTTTAGTGGGGACATTGCTAAGCAGCACCCTCAGAGATCTGTGCTGGGAACTGAAGCAGGTGCAGTGCAGGCCTTCAGTCACATGTTCGGTAAGCTGGGGAGATGGCTGCCACTGCAGCTGGCTCTGGCCCCTCCTCCCAGGCCCCAGTGGGACAGTGTCAGCAAAGGGACCTTGCTCTGGATGCTTTTTGCGCTCTCCAGGCTTTTGTCTGCAAGCCGTCTTCACCTAAGCTAACTATGATTGTTTTCTGGGTCTGCTAAGAAGCAGAGGCTGATCTGTTCCCCTTTTCCTCTGAAGACTTGGGGTTTTTTGTTATTGTAAGTAGTCAAGAGGCTTCCATGTCAGAGTTGCAGGTAACAGTAGCAGGAAACCTTGCTAGGGACCAGCTTCCACCAGCAGTCATAGAATTACGCTGTAAATGACGTAACAGCCTCTCCCTCCCTGCTGCTCGTGGCTGGTACAGATACAGCCCCAAGGCCAGCACAGGCACTAACCTGCACAGTGCCTCTCTGCCCTCTCAAAGAGCCACCTTCCTGAGGAGATGCAGTCTGGCAGTGAACAGGAAAACCCTTCAATTCCCCTGCCCTCCTGCCCTCCCCTAGTGAACAAAACCCCATCAGATAAGTTACTTTTAACAGTCTTGCTGCTCTAAAACATCTGAAGGTTTGGAGCCGTGTTGTTGGAATAGGTCACCTCCTCTGGAAGGCTCCACCAGAGGACTCACACTGGTGATAAGGACATGTGTAATCTTCAGAGGAAACTACTCAGATTGCTTCTGCTGCTTGCCAGGGAACGGATGCTACCTCTGCCCCTTCTCAGATCTTTTTGCATTTGTCCTGCCTTGGACTGAAGCAGCAAGCCAGCTGCAGACCCAGCCCCTCTTTGCTAAGTGCAAAGGGGTGAAAGTGTGATCTGCTCCCAGAAGATAGCAATCAGAGGGGAACTTCGAGGTGTAATTAAATTCTGTGTTGCAAAGATTTAAACCAGTTCTTGTCTTGCAAAAAATAACAAGAGAGGGTTGTTAACCAGCACATGGGAAATTTTGGCTTCACCATACAGTGCATTTTTAGCTGCCAGTCATGCTGAAAGATTGCTTTCCATGCCATGCAGAGATGTGGCACAAACCTCTTTGTTCAGATGCTTTTGAATGTGGCTTTCCCAGCCCAAAAATGGGAGACTGACTGGCATTTTTGTAGTGGAAATTGTTCATTGGGGTCACTGCAGGCTACCACATGGATACTGAACTGAATTAACCCTTTCACCAGTGCAGATGGTCTGATCATGTTGCGGAGATTGCACACCCATGTGTGCACGCAAACAGGCAAAAAAAAAGAAAGTCAGAACAAGTTACTGTGGAAGGCTGCTGCTATATCTGTGATGGTCAGAGCTTGTCCAGATGGAAATCACAAACAGCGGGATGAGGTAAACTCACCAAATAAGTTCTTTAGCTGCAAGTGTTTAGTCTAGCTCCTGTCCTGCAGCAGGGAGACACTTGCAACAGAATTCGTTAAGGTTGAAATGCGGTGAGGAGCCTCCCATTGCCGTTTGTAGGTGCTGCAGGACACGTTTGGGGGATTCCTTCAGAACCAGGACAAGATACAAGACAGAAATGTTGTATCCCCACGAGCTGTTAAAATTCCTGCAGGTCCTCAGATTTATGCAAAAATTCTGGCCTGTTCCAAATGAGGCACCCTTGTTTGCTCCTGTGTCCCTGCCATATTTCGTTGTAGGAGCTGTATTGGCCCAGTTTTCGTCATGTGCAATTTTTGATAGCTCTCATGGGCATTTGTAGATAGAGCTTTCAGTGAAGTGTGTTCCTGGTTTGGGGCTCTACAAGGACTGGAGAAGTGTTGAAGCCAGATACTTATGTCCCACTGGGCCCTCGTTCACCTTTATGTCTAAAATGAGATAGCTTGGCAACCGGAGGAGCGTGTCTTCGGGGCACGCTCCTGTACAAATGCTCCCCCAGCTGCTGGAATGGGAATGGTGACCCAGAAGGCTGTGTCAAACCAGAAGCAGACCAAGATGGGCTCATGGCTGTTGTGCCCAGAGAGCCCGTGTAGCAGATCTGGCCTTCAGGCTGCACAGAAGCTGCTGCAGCGTGCTGGTTTTTTTGGAAGACTGGAAGTATTGCATTTATTTGGGTTTATCCACCCACTTGCTGCTCAAGCACTTCCCAGAGGTACTGTTCAGGGAGCAGCAATGGGACTGCGGTAGTTCCTTTCTCTCCCTTGCTCCCACAGGCTGTAGCAGGGTAGGAAGCATCATTAGTCACAAAGGGATGTCAAAGCACAACAAACAACCCCAATGGCTTGTTGGTGTTTGTATGCTCCCTCTGACTGCAATGCTGGGCTCAGGAATTGTCCTGTAAAGACCTAGGGCATCACCACAAGGTCTCAAAGCCTTTAGCTGTTCTGCTTTTGGCACTGCCATTATGGAATAATGGGGGTTTTGGGGTGGTGACAGCTTTTGGCCAAGAAGCAAGGAGTCAAAAGTTCATTATGTGCCTGGCACAGTTGCTTTGCTATAATTAGTAATTTTTTTTTTTTTTTTCAAAGGGAGATTTTGGAAGTGTCTGAAAAAAGAATGCTTAGCAATTGGGCACAGTAAGGAGCATGAATTTAAGAAGCAAGTTCTTCAGTCACTGTAAATCTGTAAAGCACCTCTGATGTGCGTGGAGATACTCCAGTCTCTGCAAGCTGCAGATCTGTCCCATGCCTGGAGGAACATTCACATGGTCATCGTTAAGTAGATGAGATGTAGATAACAGTCAGATTTAACATAAATATCAGTGAGGGCTTACCTAGAAATAGAAGTTCTTCAGTCTTTATCTAAAAGTCGTCATCCTAAAATACAGATCTTAAGCAAAAGATTTTCATGTCTGTATCTGAGAATGTTGCCCTATGTTTGACTGTTGTCTTCTGGTACTAAGCAGAAGAAATCTGGGAAGATTAAGTTCCAATGCTGGCACTGGATGCCTGCTAGCATTAGCAGAGGATGCATGCATGTCTGAGGGCAATTTCACAAATGCAATTTCTTCTAATTTTCTTTTTTTAATATTAAAACCGCCCAAAAGCCACCTTGTGAATAGAGATAGGGTGGAATAATGTTTTGCCTGGAAGGATCTTGCTTAACATTTCTAAGATGAGCAGTCTCCTATAGCAAATTAAATTTAAAGTGAAACCTGCTTCTAGATGGTGACAAACTGTTGCAAGCTTTCACTTCCTGTTGTGTGTTGATCTTGATAATGCTTTAAAATCTGTTTACTTGTGTCTTTTCTTCCAACTACTGTGTGTTGGTAGTCTTAACCCTTCATTAGCTAAACCTTCTCCATTAATTACCGTCTCTTGTCACCTATTTAAAAAAAAAAAAATAGTAGTGATAACCCTGTTTTTCAGCCGTTGCTTTGCTCCTTGATATCGACTAACTACTAGGCAGAAATGACCTGATTCTGCATGACTTCCACGTGCGTAAATCTCATTGACGTCAATGGGAGTGTTACGTGCAAAAGGACTGCGGGGCATAATTAAAAAGGACCCTTTTCTATCACAATGTTGAGAAAAAAATGTGGTTTCTACTTGGGTACAAAGAAAAGCTGTAAATCATTAGAAACATTCCTGTCTCCTAAGAACCTGTCATACTACTTTGCTGTTGAGGCATGCTTGGATGAATGATGAGTAACTCACTGAGAAGAGTTCCTGAGTTGTGTTAATGCTTTTTACCAAGTCTGATCATGAAACAGGTTTGATGGGCTGGAAGAAGCTTGGTGGTGTAATAGAACAAAAAGAGGGGATTTGCCTGATAGCAAGGCCCACCCAAATCTTGTTCGAACACCAGTTTTGTCATTGGCTTTTCCCACTGTTAATAATGAGCAAGCAGTATTTAACTGTTGGAGGCCACCTTCTAGAAACTGGGAGCAGGTCCAAATCTGCTGGTGGCTGAGCTGTGCCACTCATGCAAGCGGTTGAGGATCAGGCCTGTTCTTGACCAAGTTGCTCAGCCTCTCACTAACAAGTGGAAATGCATTTTACTATGAATGTAATGTTATGCATGTAATTAGCAATAGCTACTGCTCTACTACCTGAACGCGTGGATCAGCTGCACAGAGGTGTGCACACTTCCACATGTGCACACATACATGTAGTCAGGTGTTGAAACAGAGGCAAGCATCTCTTTTTTTTTTTCCTGTGATATTTGTTGCTTACACTAATCTTCTTGGTTTTAGTCATCTACTGTATTTCTCTTACCTGTTATTTTATTTTAAATGCTTGTTGCCTGCAACTGCTCTTTGTAGTATCCTGTCCAGATGAGCACCTCTCCCCTTCTTTCTCCTCATGCTTTGTTTGTTTGTTTGTTTTTTCCTGTGTGGT